ATTATAATTATAATATCATATTATTAAAATAATTATAATATTATTATAATATCATATTATATGATAAAATAATAATATTAGAGTTATTAATATAATTATGATATTATTTGTTACAATATTACTATTACATTACATTATATTCTATTATGGTATTATTATATTATATTATATTATATTACGAGTCTAAATCTTATATTGGAAATATTGTAAATTTTAAATTTTATCAGGAATATTATGGATATTATGAAAGTTTTATTAATTGTACTATGCTGACATCCGCACAATCTAAAAGTTAAAGTTGTTTTTGGTCTGCTTCTGATTTTGGCTGTAAATTCTTTAAAAATTCTTCAAAAATTCTTCAAAAAACACTTTTGAGAAGATTTATAAAATACTAAAATCAGTTTTTTCTACAAACAGAAGCTAATTTTGGGAGCGAAAAGTAATACCAAACACAGCCAATAACTCATTGAGGTTGTTACTTTAATTGTGTCTTATCTTGAAGTAGAAACTTATACAATCTTTAATGGTCTAAAGACCGAGCCGACCATGACGCTGCATGAACATTCTGGGTATACATACATACATATTATGATATCAAATTTTGTTGACGGTGGATTTCAGTCAACAAGGGATTAACTCTCCGAGAATACTCGCAATAATCTATCACGTGTTGATTAAGGATTAATGATGCAGTATGAGATAAAGAATACACAAGTTTATAGTGGTTCGGCTAAAATTCTTTGCCTAATCCACTTGTGAATGCACTAATGCTCTGTGATTACAAGCTCTCTCTGGAGTAGTATAGTAGTGTGCGTAAAAAACTTAATGAATTCCCATGGCTTTATTTATAGGCCTTGTACATGTGAGAGACCCCCTCTGCATTTTCTGAGGAGATCATCATCAATCCCTTAATTCTGGGATTGGACAGTTGGATTTCCATGATTACTGCTTCCTGGTCAGGCTATCCACCCTTACTGACTACCTGATTTCCTAACTTCAACAGTGGTGGTAGTTGGTACAGTGTATCTTTCTCTGGGCTGACGGGATGTGATCTTAATTTGATCTCCCGGTCTTATCTAATTCTTGACTCTTCGATGCAGAGGCTTCAAAAGACTTTTGTGGACTTCTCGACTTCAACGACGCAAAGGCCTCAAGAGGGCCTTCAGCACTTCTCGACTTCAACACCTTGACTCCTCGACGCAGAGGCTTCAAAGGGCTCTTATGGACTTCTCGACTTCAACGACGCAAACGCCTCAAGAGGACCTTCAGCACTTCTCGACTTCAACACCTTGACTCCTCAACGCAGAGGCTTCAAAGGGTTTTTGTGGACTTCTCGACTTCAATAACGCAAAGGCCTCAAGAGGACCTTTAGCACTTCTCAACTTCTATGCTTTAGCTCTAAGAGCGCTTCTTAACCTAGAGACATCTCCCTAACTGTTAGTTCTCGGCGTCAGGGATTTGTGCTGACTTCCGGAGCTCTCGACGCGTACGACAAAAACGGGTCACTTGAATGCTCGACCATGGTGTAACAAATTTGTTTAAAAAAAAGAGGGCCTGACTGCCTGAGTGGTTATCTTGATAGTAAATTAGGAATATTCCATTTTATAAATGTACACTTTGTTAATTAGATTACTTTAAACTTTATCAATGTAATTTTCGTATACTCGAGAGTTTGTGATACTTTAAAATTTTTAAACAAATATAAAAGGCATAGTTAAGGCAGCTTGGAGCACCCTGTTCCTGTAGTTGCTCCATGTAGCAAAGATTCCATATTTGGAATAAATAAATAAACAAATATAAAAGGCATAGTCAATACTGAACACCTTGTTCCTGTTGAACGTTCAACCGCTCCCTCAGGTCTCCGTCATGCACGGACGAAGATTCTACCTGGACCGCGTTCCTTCGGTTGACATTCTCCTGCAGTCGAGGAGGTACCTCTCGGTCATTTGATGTCTGGGCCGCGGCCCTCTCCTATGCTCTCCTCCTGGCAGCTCGTTGCCTGCTCCCCACAGATCTATTCAACTTGGCTGGGCGGGGGTTGTTGGCCCCACTGTCACCGAACCCCTCGGCGTCACCG